AGGAGTAAACAACCCAGTGAACCAGTTGGGCCCCAGGCAAACCCAAGAATTTTGAAGTAGGCTCAGTATCAGCTAAAGTGGTTAAGTCAAAACCAGTCCCTAGTGGAAATAAGAGGATCAGGGATGCTACTACACGGGCTCCAAAAAAAAACCCCTCCAAAGACAAGGCTGAAACTTCTAACAGGGCTAAAGGGTTAGATTCGGTTGAGATCCAGAAGGCACCTATAAGTGAGACCTAGATGAATAACCCAGGCATACAACATGATTCTTTGAGGACAAAATGGGGACACAACGGGTCAATAATCAAATGGCAAACAATGTGCACAACACCCAGATAAGAGAAAAACCGACACATACTATTGTCAGAATCCCTAACCCAAATCCACCACCAAAAACAACAGTACAAGGTAATCAATAGCAACAATTCGAGGAACAAACAAAATGTCAGATGGAAGCCGCTGCAGTTCTACCAGATTTATCAAAAGCCTTCCATGTAAAGCCACATTTGAAAATTAAGATGCGAACAGTGGATAAAAATCTCAATTTGATGGACATTTCAGATATTAATCAAAAAAATTCGATGCCTTGGTGGAGGAGGATCAACCGTCTGAAATGGAAGGAGTATGTTCGTCGGAGGAAACATATGGTGGGCTCTTAGGAGCCACCAGGTAAGTCCTCTCTCATTTTTTTAATGTAGTACAACATCATAGCATGGAACTGCCGAGGGGCAGCAAAAAAAACTTTTATACCTGTAATTAAATCCCTTATTAAAACGTATAAGATGTCTATAATCATAATTCTTGAACCTAAAGTAAGTGGTGGAAAAGCGAATGATATAATTAGAGAAATAGGCATGAAAAGTTCTCATAGGATAGAGGCCGTAGGACTTTCGGTTGGAATATGGATAATGTGGAATGATTCCTTGTCAGTAAGAATTTTAAAAAATGATTGGCAATTTGTAGTATTTAAAGTTTCTTTTCCTATTAATACGAGTGCAATGTTTACCTCTATGTATGGTAGTCCACAGCCCAAGATTAGATGCCAATTGTTGGGAAAGTTGGAAGATTTGTCTGAGGAAATTCATGAACCTTGGATGGTGCTTGGCGATTTTAAAGCTTTCATGGAAGAAGCTGACAAAATTGGGGGCTGCAGAGCAAGTGGGTGTAAATGGTTTGGGGAATGGATTTCAAAATTTGAAATGCACGACATGGGATTTATTGGTCAGAGATTTACAAGGTCAAATGGTCGTTGACATGAAAGATTAGATCGAGTTTTGGCTAATGGTAGATAAGATAATACATTTTAGAGGACTACTGTTACACATTTAGCTAGAGTAGCTTCTGATCATTCTCCACTGTTGGTCACTCTTGTTGAAAAAGGAAGCCAAGTACCTACAACTAAAAACTTTAGGTTTCTTGCTGCATGGGAGGCTCATGAAAACTGGCAAAAGTGGTTAGAGGAAAACTGGTGTCAGGAGGTTTCATTGCCAGTTGCGCAACAGATTTTGACAAACAAAATCAATGATTGGAACTACCACTTTTTTGGAGACTTAGTCAAAAGGAAAAATAGGGTGTTGGCGAGATTGGCTAAAATCCAAAGGGTTATACCGTATAGATATTCCAAAGGGCTCCAGAAGCTTGAGTTGCAGCTTAGGGAAGAATATGAGAGAATAATCACACAACACAAAATGCAAGATCACTATGGTTAGCTCAAGGTGACAAGAACTCAAAAATCTTTCATGCTGTTCATAGGGAGAAACGTTATCGGCACAGAACTAAAGTATTAAAATTAGAAGATGGCTCTTGGTGTTCGGATCTACAAAGACTTAGTGAAGAAGCAACAAAGTTTTTCGAGGGACTATATTCTGAAGGGTTTGATAGACACACTCCATATGGGATAAGAGGTCATTTCCCCCCTCTAAGCGATGGTCAGAAGTTGGCACTGTGTAGAAATAGCCATGATGAAGAAATTAAATCTGCAGTCTTTGTTATGAGCCCCTTCAAGGTAGCAAGGGTGGATAGTTTTAAAGTGTGCTTCTATCTACACAATTGGAGATTTATTATGCAAGATGGGTTGAAACTAGTACAATGGATCCCCAAATCAATAAGGCACTGATCACAGTTTTTCCTAAAACTGGTCAGCCAGAAAGTTTCCATCATTTTAGGCCAATAAGTTTGATTAATGTGAACATGAAGATCGTCTCAAAGGTGGTTGCCAATAGGTTAAAGTTCATCATGCCACACCTGATGCTGCCCACACAGACAAGTTTTATACCGGGTCGGAACATAGTTGACAATATTGTGATGGTTCAGGAGGCGATTCATTCTATGCGAAATAAGAAAGGTAAAAAAGGTTGGATGACCTTCAAAATTGACTTAGCAAAAGCATATGTTCGTGTCACCTGGGACTTTATTTGGGACACACTTTAGGATGCTGAGATCCCACCGTACCTGAGTAATGTAATTTTGAACACGTTGTCTACTAGCTCAACACAGGTTTTATGGGAGGGAGTTATCGGGAATTCTTTTTGCCCGTCCAGAGGGGTAAGACAGGGGGACCCGGTAGCACCTTATATTTTTGTGCTTTGTATAGAAAGATTAGCTCATCCCATTATTCTAGAAGTTGCCAAAGGTAGCTGGAAACCTATTCTGTATGGTCATGGCAGAGAATGGTTGTCTCATTTATTTTTTCGTGGACGATTTGATTCTGTTTGCGGAGGCATCTTTGGAGCAAGTGAAAGTTATTCAAAAAACTATAGAAACTTTTTGTGTGTCATCAGGGCAGACCATTAGTCGAGAAAAATCAGTTGTTTATGTATCTCCAAATATTGATGGGGGTAAAGCTTGTCACAGACTTAGGAAAATACTTAGGGGTTCCAATCATTCATAGCAGGGTGACAAGAGAGACATACAAGGAAATGGTTTCTAAAGTTTATAACAGAGCATTAAAATGGAACCCATAGAAGATTTCGTCAGCTGAGAGATTAACACTAAATAAAGTGGTGTTAGAAGCAATGCTGAATCATCTCATGCAATCGACAATCCTACCTGTGGGAACTGGTAATGACATCAATAAAGTAAGGAGAAGGTTTTTATGGGGAGCCAAGGCGAATGAGAGAAAGCCCAGTCTTGTAAATTAGGATTCTGTTTAACAACCGAAAGAAAGGGGGGCTTAGGGATTCGAAAGTTAAAAGAAGCAAACATGGCGCTGATTCTTAAATTGGTCTGGGGTATTGTTATTGGTGATGACAGCTTGTGGTGCAAAATTTCTAGATCAAAGTATAGTTTAGGAGAAGAAGGAATCTCCAGAACTATTTTTAGAAAGAACTCCTCGATACTTTGGAAACATATAGCTGGTTTGTGGGAATTTGCTTTGAAACAGATTCGGTGGTCTGTAGGAAACGGAAGCAAGATAAGGTTCTGGCTGGATAACTGGACAGGGTTAGAGAGTCCACTAATTCAGTTCCTACAACGTGAAATTTCAGAAAGAGAAAAAGAAAGAAAGCTTGATGAATTCGTCGATAAAAATGGGTGTTGGAAGTGGCAGGAATTTGTCCCATGGCTACCAGAGGAGGCAATCAAATGTATAAGTGCAATACCCCCTCCTCATCCTAGTTTAGGGTCAGATTCTATGGTATGGAACCATACAGCTTCTGGGAAGTTCTCCACGGCTTCGGGATATAAGGCTTTGTGGTCATCCAATTGGAGCTAGTAAGACAAAAAATGGAGACTGATATGGAAGTGGCAAGGACCTAAATTGGTTAAAACTTTCCCGTGGCTATTGATGCGTAGAGCCTTACAGGTCAATGTTGAAAGGCGACGACGACATGTGACTGAGGATGGGAGCTGTCATGTTTGTGGAGGATGGGAATCAGAGCTTCATGTTTTTAGGGACTGTTTTCGTAGTAGCAAGATTTGGAGGAGCATCAACACTAACTTGGGATTAGAATTTTGGGACGAACAGGATTTAGAATCTTGGTTGGTTTCTAACTTAAACCTCTCTTTCTTGCAGGTTGGCATTCCATGGAATACTTAGTTTGCGGTTGTGTGTTGGAAACTTTGGAGAACACGCAATGAGGAGATTTTTCCAGCTGCAAACATCCAAGGTAGAGAGCTATTAATGACTATACGTGCTGCTGCCAAGGAGATAGATTGGAGCAACGAAGGTTTCAAGTTGAGGAAAGGGAATCTTCCTGCTAATTGTGTGCTGGTTTCTTGGAATTCCACCACTACTGGGTAAGATCAAACTAAATACAGATGGCGTTGTCAACGTGTTTCAGAATCGTGCAGCTCCAGGCGAAGTGTTACGAGATCACCAAGGTAGCTGGATTTCTGGTTTTTCGGCGAATTTGGGATTCTACTCAACTACAAAAGTAGAATTATGGGTGTTTACTACGGGTTACAAAGGGCTTCGGATACTGGTTTTTCCTAAATCATCTTGGAACTTGACTTTTTTGAAGCAGTAGCGTTACTTCTCAGTGTAGATGGCACAAGACAATAGTCTACATTGATCCGAAGGATTAGAATCCTTCTCAAACGCAACTGGTTTATAGAAATAAAACATACTTTTAGGGAATGTAATGGTGTAACTTAACTTTTAGCAAAAAAAAGAAAAGATCTACGTTTAGTTTGTGGGTTACATATTTTGACAAATCCCACTGATAAGCTACATAGTAGCCTTTTGCTAGACAAGTCGACTACTCCTTTTCTTAGGAGTGTACAATTGTAAACAAACCTCATGCTTCCACCTTATTAAAAAAAAAAAACATTAGGGTTCATCTTGGCAAATTAATAAACTATAGGGGCGAAGCCGATGAAGTGGAGATAAATAAACAAAACTCAAGGGTCCCCAAGTATAAAGAGACAGAGAAAGTTGCCGTGGAATTTTTTCTTTCAACCAAAAAAAAAGAAAAAGAAAAGTAGCGTGGATTTTAAGCACAAATTTAAACTATTATTAAAATGCACCCAGTGGGCCTTTTTATACAATTCCCAATAATTTCAATTTTATATGATTTAGCCCCTCCAGAAAATAATAAAAAACCCCTCTATTTTAAAGTCTTTTTCTTGGGAGTATATATAAGCAGAGCTGCAGAAGCACTCTTTCAGTCTCTGCTGCTGAAAATAAGAAGAAGAGGAGAGAAGAAGAAAAGGGGGCGACCAAAGTCAGAGAAAAGCCGCAGAGAATGTCGCAAACCGCCGATGAAGATAAGAAACCCGGTGGCGATCAATCAGCCCACATCAATCTGAAAGTCAAAGGCCAGGTCTTTTGAGAAAATTCTTCCTTTTATCTGCATTACTATTTTTTTAATTGAATTTTTCGAGGTCTGTTTTTGATTGAATTGTTTGTTGATCGATTCTCTGAATTCGTTTTTTTTTTTTTTAAAAAAAAAAGTTTTCCTGTTTAAGTTGTCCTTTTTTTTTGGGTTGCATGGTTTACGGGCTCTTGCGAGCCTTTAGCCCTTTTCAACGTTTGAAATTTCGGGTTTACGTTTTTTTGATTGCTGAATTGGTTGGATCTTTGCCTTTACAGTACGCACATTAAATGATTTCAGGGGAGAATTCTGATTTTTCTTGATTTATAGAGTATTCTGGGTCTGTATATTTTGTGGTATAAGAAACTCCGCCGCTGTTTTGATTTCTCATGAGAACTTGTTTAGTATCTCCACAAAAGTATTACGGAAAGAGAGAACTTTGTTATATTATGTATTTCCTGTTTATTGGTTCTTGTTGCCAGGAATAAGTAGTTTCTGGTTTTATTTTTAGTTATGTGAATCCTGTGAATTTGCTTGTACTCTAGTAGATATCGTGAAGGTAAAGAACTTAAAGGGGAGTACTACTGGCATCATATGGTTATCAAAAAGTTGCCTCTAGGTTCTGTACCATATGTGATTTGTGATTGATATCAGGAATTCGAGATCTTTTAAGGCTTTGGGTCAGAGGGTAATTTTTTGCTTCAGGTTGAGTGGCATTCTTAGTGTTTAGTAATGCACGATTCTACACTTGTCACTCAGAAGTAAAAGGGAAGGAGGATTGGAAACAAGCTATTTGAAAAGACAAGATTTATTTATAATTAAATGTGAAAATTTGTTTTGATGCAGTGTGGTGCTGCCATGATCCATACAGCTGATCCAACATAGTTTACTTGGGATGGAGACTTTTTTGGTATCGTTGTTGCAGCTAGTTGTTATTGTAGTATTCTTGATAAATGCTTTGTGATGTATTCATCAAAATCCTGCTTCTGTTTTATCTGCTTCTCTTATTTTTTATACAGAAGGGGTCTGAAGTGCTTTTAGATTGTTGTCCTAGATTCGCTCAAGTGAAGTGGATAATCTCCTTCATAATTGCTAGATATGAGGTGATAGATAATATAATTTTGTCTTAGAGAGATGTCCTCGAAACTCAAAAGTGTCGAAATGTGCTCCTGGTCCCATAATAATCACATTCTTAATGTGCTAGGTTCATATGAGGTCTTAATGTGCTCCTGGTCTTTCTTTTTTTTTTTTTTTTCCTGCATATGAGCATTCAATGACACATGCTTTTTGTATAAGTAGTTATTGCGAAATTTGTTTATCTTCTTTGAGAAATTTGTGATGCTGTGTTTGTTGGTAATGGTGCAATCCTTTCCTTCAGCTCTACCATATTCTTAAGGTTACTTAGGTGGGCATGGCCTCTGTTCTTGACTTTGATGTGCTACTGTTAGTTGAAGATTTTCGGTGATAACATAAAAAAAAAAAAGAAAAAGAAAAGAAGACTGTAGAGGGGGACCTTTTTGTTTTGTGAGTCTGTTGCCGCTTTTTGTGGGTAATTTTCTAGACAAACTGGAGCAATCAGAGACTTTTTGCCTGAAAATATTTGGAGAAAATCATAAAACAACTACTAGGTTGAAACTTGAAATTTGAAGCTTATTCAATCTTTGTTTGTAATGCACCTGGCGAGCTTCTGTCGAGTGATTTTGATAACTTTGAGGATCCTGTTTCTTAAATGATTACTTGACTAGCCTTGTTTGATAACTTTGGGGATCTTGTTTCTTAAATGATTACTTGACTAGCCTTGGTTGTGTTTTTTATAGCTTCTCTCTCCATTCCCATTTTTCGGTTCTCCTTGATTCTTTAAGTAACACATGTTATCCTCTGCTTGTTAACCTGTGTATTTCCTTGGTAACTGTGCAAGCCTGAGTTATTACGGTTTTCCTTCGTGTAAAGATTCAATAATTGATTGTGGGGTGTAATATGTTGTCTAGGAACTGGGGAAGATGGGACTGGTGATTTCAACAGCCTAAATATGCGGAGGAAATTATGCTTTCAATTATCTTAATGTTCACTTGAATATACCCTTTTAGCCAAAATTTCTGGAAAGCATTAGAAAGATTAGCCTAGATAGGTTTTTGCGTTTGATACTAATACTTAAACACTGTTGATCATATGGCTTCTGGGTCGTAAGATTCTATTTCTATGTCCTTTTTTTTTTGTTACACAGTTATTTGTGGAGGTTAAGCGGCAGGAAGGTGTTCATTAGTTGTTACTTTTTGAGTTCTGACACTGAAGTTGATGTACTATTTATTCTGGTTTGTAGGATGGAAATGAAGTCTTCTTCAGGATCAAAAGAAGCACTCAACTGAAAAAGCTAATGAATGCTTACTGCGACCGGCAATCTGTGGATTTTACTTCCATAGCGTTTCTATTTGATGGGCGTCGTCTGCGTGGAGAGCAGACTCCTGAAGAGGTAGGACTATATAATTCTTTTCCCCTGTTAAGTTCCATACAGATGAAAGAACATGCACGGGATCAACTTATCCTTGTTGAATTTTCTTTTCATTGTTCTTGAGAATGCATTATCTTTTGTATTTGTCGAAGCAGTAACACTATTTCCTTTTTCTTCCCTTTGTCATTTTTCAGCTGGAGATGGAAGATGGGGATGAGATTGATGCCATGCTGCACCAAACTGGAGGCTGGAAATTCTAATTCCGAAGTCTGTTTCGGGAAAGAATCCTATTAGACTTTAAAGGGAATGTAACCATTTTGCATAGGATGTGTGATCTACATAGTGAATGGTTTGCTTAACTTCTAAGATTTGGGGTGTTCTTTCTATCATAATATGGTGATCTGTGGCGCCATTCTAACTGTAACCAGTATCGTTTGGTTGGTTATCAAGAGTGGCAGATGATTATGTCTAGTGTGCAAGTGTTCCTAACAGTTTACTATGCATGTTATGGTTTCCCCCGTCTCGGTTGGCTTTTGGCAAACATCATGAAGATAATCATTCTATTATGATTATTATCTTGATAAAAGCCTGCAAATGATAAAATTTTAACAATAAAGAGAAGATTAGTTTGGCCTTCATGACCCTATGCCTTCTCGAGTATGGGAAAGAATGATGTGCACGCATTGAGAATAATAAAAATTACTGGAGTATCTTCAACTTAATGTGTGAGGCAATCAGTCAATAACAATCAAGGACATAGTTCCCCAATGAAATAGTCTCACTATTTTTTTAAAAATACTAATTTATATTAAAATTTTAAAATTTATATTAGTCGGTGTCAAGAACGTGACATGTCTACATAATAATCAAACAAATTAACGAAACATAATTGTGCTATAAATTCAACGAGAATGAGAGTGACGGCCAACCACATTCCTAAACACACGGCTTGGCTTAAAATACACCTCAAAACCTTAATTCAATAGTTAGGATTTAACATTTCCAACTACACACATTTCGTACAATTAAGTCGTCGCGATTGATCAAAATGTCAATTCTAATTGGTAATTAAAATATTAGAAGTACACGAAATTACATCTAAACATTTGAAATTCGAGGCCTCATTCCCATTAGACAACAAAAACAAGGAAAACTGTCATGCGATAATTTTATTCGATTGAAAGTTGAAACTAGTGCTATTCTACTACAGAAGTAAGGAAAAGAGATGGTGCATTTCTAATTATGGTTGTAGCATTCACAATGGTAGTATATAATTAGTAAATAATTACTCTATTATACTATTTATTATTATGTTACAGTGTAATAATATTATATATACAGTCTAAGAATTTTTACATCATATAATATATTTTTTGGGGTTAAAATATAATTAATCTGAATTTACGATTGTATTAAAATTATTTTATTATTATACTTTTACGTGTAAACAAATGTATTGAAAATTTAAATAAAAATATAACATTGAAAATTTTAATATTATTAATATTAACGTTTCTGTAAATCGTTGTGATGCTCTTAGCAACAACTGAAGGTTCAAACTTCTTAAATAGACCCATAAGCTATTATTCTCTTAATCATTTTCCATGCAGGTGGCAATATCTTAAATTAATCAATCAATAAAGATTTGCTGGGAGGCGTGGAACGAGGACGAGTTCCAGCGGGCCAACAAGGTGGTTCGTAACGCCGGCGCTCTCTTTCAGGTCAATTTTCCGGCCATTCGGAATCTCGAGGTCGAAAGCGTGGAAGAGATTTCCAAGGATCAGGTGCACCATCTGTAGAGCCAAATTCGCACCGGGGCAATTCCTCCTACCAGCACTAAACGGAATCAGCTCGAAATTCCGACCCTTCACATCAAAATCCTTGTGGGTCGTGAGGAATCTCTCGGGCTTAAACTCCGTCGGGTCATCGACCCACACATCCGGATCCCGATGCATTTTCCACAAGTTGACGATCACTCTGGTTCCTTTGGGGACATGATATCCTCCGATGTTGGCGTCTTGGGCCAATTCTCTTGGTCCACCCAGTGGTCCAGCCGGATAGAGTCGCAAAGTTTCTTTGACGACGGCCTGAAGGTAGACCAACTTCGGGATGTCAGCGTCCGTCACTCGCCGGTCTTTCCCGACGTGGAAGTCGACTTCTGCTTTGACCTTTTCCAAGATTTGTGGATTTTTCATCACACGAGCTACCGCCCAAGTTAGGGTAACCGTAGTTGAGTCGCTTCCACCAGCTATTAAATTCTGTTAGAAAAACACCAAAAAAACATTATAAGTTATTTTGTAGTACACATAATGAATTATTAAAATAAGACGGAAAGAGTATAATATATATATATATATATATATATATATATATATATATACTTGCGAAATTAATTCTTACTATGCAAGTGGATTTGATTATGGTGTCAGGATCATAATCTGCATCGATTTGGGCTTCTTCCAACATGGAGATCATCACGTCAATGAAGTCATGATCAGCGGAGACTTGCCTGGACTTCCTGTTTTGGCGGTGTTCTTTCAACCATTCCCCAACTAGATTGTCCACTTCTGCACTGATTGCTTTCATCTTCTTTTGTAATCCTCCGAAATCGAAATGTTTCAAGATTGGGAAAGAATCAGCTGGCAGAAAAAGCCCAACAAAATGAAGGAATTCTCTCAGAACCCTCTGAACCCTTGTTGCTTCTTCTCTTTCTTTGTCCCCGTGATCAGCAATACTAACGAAGTAACTGTACAAAAAACAAACATATTGATGGCAAATGTAAGCGAGACGTGCCAAAATGATTGTCCAATTTAGACTTTTATTTTTACTATGATATGTACTAAAAAGTAAAAAAATCCATCACTGAGCAATCATTTCGGGACAATAGAAGTATAAGATCGATTGAATCATTAAATATGTGTCTTTTTATTGCTAATTGGTTTTAAAAGAAATGTTAAATGTACCGTTGTCCAGCAATCATTCTGAGGACGGTGTTTAAGGAGTGGTTCCCCAACCACTCTTTCATGTCAACCACAACTTTGTGGTCAGGTGATGATTTCGACTTGCGACTCCTCCAGAACTCGTACAGCTCTTTCGACGACATCTCAACTTCAGAAACCCGGTTAGTTTTGAGCAGCTCGAGCCGGCGCGGGGAGAGCAATTCGACGGCGATGAGTTTGCGAATCTCCCGCCAGTACGGACCGTAAGGGGAGAAACCGAACATGGCGAAATCGTAGCTCATGAGATCGGCCACCAACGAGTCGGGCCGGGTCAGGATTTGCAAGTCATGGGTCGTGAAACATTCCTTAGCTATATCCCATCTGCTCACGATGATGGCTTTGTAATGACCGAGTTTCACTGTGAATATCGGGCCATATTTGTCGGCCAAGTTTGCTAAGGTTATATGGGGCGCCTGTGGACCTCCTAAGAGGTGGAGGTGGCCGATTACCGGCCATGCACCGCCGGCTAGCGGCGGCGGTTGCTGGTTTTTGTTATGTGGTTTTGATCTCAGAAAGATGTAGTTGTAGAAAGCAAGGAGGAGGAAAGTGAATAGTCCAAGAATGCAAGTGTTAATCAGTTCCATGATTCTGTGTGGCAACTAGAGCCAAATGAATGTCCCATTCAATTTATACTGAAATAAATTGGTGGTATCTTATGGAAACATTGGACTGACTTGACGAAGTAGGTATGTAGTACTCGTTATGGTTTGGTTTACGAGTAAACGTAACATATATAGTAAGCAAAGGGCAAAAGTCAGAAAAATTTATTAAATTGCTTTTCTACAATTACAATTAGGAGTAGTAAAATAAGCAAAGTTCAAAAGTCAAAAAATAAAATAAAATTATTAAATTGCTTTTCTACAATTATTAGTAAAATATGCAAAGTGTGGAAGTTAAAAAAAGAAATTATTAAACTGCTTTTCTACAATTAGTAGCTACAGTAAAGTAAGCAAAGTGCAAAAGTAAAAAAAATATGATTTTTTTTTTTTTATCAATTCCTTCTGTCAAAACTGTATACTGTTACATACAATTATATTTTGGGACAAATAAAATAGTTATTAGAAACTTTACCATCTTAAACGTTTAGTTATGAGAGTACTATCACACAACGAAATGTTTTGCATCATTGACTGTTGCTGATCCGGTCCGTATGATTTACCAATGAGAGTTGAAATGCAATATTATCTGTATCTTTTCACTGACACAATGTAGTAATCTTAGTTTTACGTTAAATTATGTCTATTAATTTGGTTATATCAAATTAAAAAAGATTTAAGAGTGTGATGTGCATATGGGGTGTGCATGTTTTCACCACCTCAATTGTATGGCCAAAAGTCTCAACCACTCTATTTTTTGGGGGGTTATTTTTAGTGTGGTTGACATTAAATTAATGCAGAAATATTGGTTTGGTCAATTTAGGGTAGTTAATGATAAATTTGTTTTATTCATTTGGAGCTTTGTTTTGTTTTATATATTAATTAAAACTTTAATATCTGCCAGACACAACTCGGCAAGCAACAACCCTAATATAAAAAACTTAAATAGATAACTTGATCAAGTAAGGAAAATGATCGGTAATTTGGTAGAGACAGTAGTATACGTCCAGTAACTTTCCGTGGAATTGCTGGGAAAAAGCAACTAGTACTCGTTGCTGACATATTGTATAAGGAAAAAATTTGAGCTTGTCAACCACAAAAATTCTGTAATACAAATTTAATTACGTCCTTAGGTGTGTGTGAGAGTAACGTCAATAAGTAAGTAATATTTTTTTCGTTTCGAAATAATTGTTTTTTTTATTTTTATTTTTGTAATACTAATTGTATTAATAGTAAAAATTTAAATTAAACAATTATTTTTGAGAAATTAATTATTTTTTTAAGTAAATACGTACCTAGTTGTTTTCTTTATACAATGGAAAAGTGTGAAGAAGTGTAATTTAGAACTGAGCAAATTAATTCGTGACATTGTTGTATTACTCTTTTCATTCTAAGAAAATAATATATTTTATTGTATTATTTTAATTTAGACTAGGAGTCTAGGACAGAGAGAATACAATGGACTAGCATTTAGTATATATGTAAATCAAACCAACACTTGCCCAGGGCCGACACAAACTCAGTTGCGGGACGAAAAAGAATTTGTAAAAGAATTTCATCCAGATTCCTATATAACACAAGCCATGAATTTTTTATTTTATTTTTTAATACATTACACTCTTGATGTCTGATCATCCGAAGTCACTACCCGACTTAGCGAATTCGAGCCAATTGTTGGATTGATATACAAGGAAATGATTTTAAAACTGAGCTGAGTGAGGTGTTCGTTTAGTCTACAGACTCTGAGTAAACAAACAAACCATTTTTTTTATAAAAAAAAAAGAAGGAAAAATATCTGTGAACCTACTTAGTACCTCTTTTTTCCAACATTTTTTTTTTGGGTAAAAAGAAGGGATTCCAAGAGAAAGCGAGCAAGCTAGCGACCCCGGCCTTATGTTTAAGTTATAATAAGTTTTTGCTTCCTAATACAATTAATTCATGTAATCTTATTGAAGTTTTTTATTGATCGAGGATGAGTCAGAACAACTTTTATCATAGTTTAGTGTTTCCTCGTTTGATGGTGCTGAGATGGAAAATATTTGCATAGTCCTACATGTATCTTCTAGTAGAAAAGAAATTTTCAAACCTCTTAAATTAGTGATGCTAACACTGACATTACATGTGAGATAAAAAAAGAAGAAGAAGGAATTCTCAAACCTCTTCAATTAACGATGTTAAATTTGTATAATACACACTGCAAGGACTAATTGGATCAACAGTCTATCTAAGATTTCTAGTTTTACGTTTTTTTTTTCTCCAAATTATGTAGATGATTATTTTATTATGACAAACATAAAAATGATACTCGTGTCTCGTTTAATTTTCATTGATCGCCCAGTCAACACTATGTTACCAACTCGTGGAGAGCTTGATTCGTGTAGAGCCTTTGACGTTAATTGCTAGTTCAACATTCTCTTCATCCTCCTTCTCACGGCAATAACTAAGCACACTGCTCTGATTTTTTGTGCGGAATCATTAGATTGCAAGTCTATCACGGTAAGAATTTTGTTGCTTTGTGGTCCCTGTGGATTGGACTATTTGCAAATGTAGCACCCCTTGCGACCTGTTCAATGCTCTCTTCAACCGAAAGGGAAAGAGTAGACTCATAGGCGCGTATATTGTTTACTCGCTCTAATCAACCGTCAATCGCTTTGTCATTAGTCTTCCTCTAACTTGAAAATGATGACTCTTTTTATATGAAAGATCGAAGTCATAGTGTTAAGTCACCCCACACAAAGTTATATAGTACGGGCAAAAAAACAGTTGACCATTAAATGAATGAATCACCGGTTAGCCTCCGGAAGTAAGTACCCATTTGTTAATCTATAGAGAATTTCTGTCCAATCATAGTACTTCATCCGTTCTGAAATTATTGTCCAGTTTAAATTTTAATTTTCAGTAAAAATAGAAATAAAATTAAAAACCCAAATTAGAAATAACTTTGAGACATAGAAAATATCTAACATAAAAATTCAAGCTTCTAACCACCGAGTTTAACTCTCTTCCACCGTTCAAATTTGAGAGTTAAATTATATTTTGTACATAATTAAAGAGGTATAAAATGAAAATTACATTACTATAAAATAACCAATAATTCAATTTTTTTTTGGTCGATACTAATACTAGGGTTGGATAAATTCACGCCTACAAGTACATCACCCATCATGTTGCACTGACTCCTCTTAGCAGAGTCTTCAATCGATACAAAGTCACTAGATTTTGGGTTACTAAATTAGTTAAAATAATTAGCCGTGAAATTCTTCTCGCCAAACGCGTGCATAATTATCTGAAGATGCTAAACTACTACATACATTTCGTACGATGAAGCAGTCTCGGTTAGTGTTGTCAGACTTGGCTCGAACACCGACTCGGCAAGAGTAGGAGTCAGGGGTTTTAGGGGTCGATTCGGGTCGACTCGGGGAGTCGACTCGGATGACATCATTATGATGTAATAAATAATATATATTAATAATTAAAAAAACTTAATATTTTTGTATCTTTTTTATGGTAATAGTCAATAATATAATTTTAAAGTATTTAATTACAGTTCAAAATAAGTATATTAGTTTAAGAAATTAGAAAATTAATTATTAGTAATTAAAATTTATAAATTTACTAGATAATCAACCTTTGGTATTACTAAAATGTATAACATAAAAGTCAATTTCAAAATATTTGAGATGTAATTTAAATTTTAAATAAACAATGGAGGTTCATATGTGAAAAATAATAAAAGGATTTTTCTTTAACAAAATAGTGTGTTTATGATTTGGAGTGAAAAGTTTGGGGCTGAAATGGCAAATTAATTCTTTAAAGAAAAATTACTGGGTCATTTAAGAATAAAAGGAAAAAATTTGGATCATGAAAGAGAAAGAAAGTCAAGGACTCCAAGAAAAAAACAAGTTAAAAATTGGTCAGATCATGCATAAACTAAAAACTCCAGGTCGATCCGGATTTGATCGGTTCCCGGTTCGCCTAGAGTTTTGACCGGTTTGACCGAGTCATAAAATAAGGATTTTTTCAGTAACTCGGCTCGGTATATGATCTTATTTTCGAGTTAACCGGTTGAGCCGGCCTGTCCGAACCGAGTTTAACAACACTGGTCTTGATCGATCAAAATGTCAAATGTAATAGCAATAATCTTAGAAGTACGTACACGCAGTCACATCCCTAAACATTGGAAATTCGGGGCCCTCGGAAATCCAAGGTCTTGAAAATTGCATGAAGAGGGAGATTTGCAAGGATTAGTTAGGTGTCGCGAAGCCAAATTCATACCTAGGGCTGGCTATCTATTTCTTCTGCCGCAAGCACCACTGAACTGAACGGCATCAAATTCCTCATCTCTCGGATCATTCGGATCCCGATGCAGTTTGCACAAGTTAACAATCACACTTAACTCTTGTGTACCTTTTAATTGGGACATTATATTTTCCTATGTTTGGTGTCTTCCGCCACCTCTCTTGGGCCACCCGAGTGGTCCTGCTACTGGATGTCGTCCGTCAAGCTTATTTGATGAAGGCTTGAAGGTTGACCACTCGCCGGTCTTTCCCAACCTGAAAGTCAAGTTCTTGTTTGACATTTTTGAAGATTTTGAGGTTTGCTGTACAAAGTATCCCTTATTAATCTCCTTGGTTATAAACTCATCAATCTTTTTGACCATTGTTGTTGTTGTTTTTTTTTTTTTTTTTGATATTAGTGAAATTAAGGAGGTGACGGAAACAGATTATTACCCATAATAAAATCCCTGACATAACATGAATATGATTTTACTATTTCTGAACCTCTAAATGTCCGACACTCCGACTTAATATCTTACAACCAGACTACGATTATATTCCTGAAAGTAGTTAATTAACCTTGCTAAATGTTAATCAATTCATTTGCTGCCTTGGATCTATTTTGGACTGCTCTACCTTTTGTATGTATCATGTTTGGCACTTTTTCCTAGCGAAGTACCATTCCATTTTTAAACTACAAGTTCGGCACATTTTAGATATTTAATTAGTACTAAAGGTTAAAGAAAGACAGTGGGACGAATAGGCCAACTTTGGAACTCTGAAATGAACTTGTAAGAACTAGATCGATAAGCTTTGCCATTTGTAAAAAGGTTTGAAGGTTTGAATTGGAACTGAGTACTACTAGTTACAGATGAAGGAGATTCTTCTGATGATAATAATCACATATTCCAATATCCATATTTCCCGTTTTTTTGACAGGCTAACTTCCCTGTGCTTGAAATCAGGGTCTGTATCTGATTCAGATTTGGCGCACTTTCCTGTCCAAATTTACCTTGCTTGAGCAACTAGTCGTAGAGAATTCACCCTCTCTGCAGAACACGAGAGTTTCTACGAATCAATCACCCAACTTGAAGCCGTTGAAAATCAAATAAAATCAAGCTAGTTTCATCCACAAGTTTGGTTTCTTTCAAGTATGCAGCGCAATACACAAACATTAGATTTGGAAATGTTCCTAGGACCTCTTTAATGTCCATGACAATTCATCATACAACTGAAGTATATATGTAATTATTTATATATCTACACCATTCCCGATTAAAAGGATTTACAGACATACTTACATTACATTATCTGATTTCGGGATCGGGCTATGAAGCTATTTACCTGAATTCTATATCCGCAGTACAATTCTTCAATCCTCTTAGTATCATTATAGTAACTTTGGAGGATAATTTCTCTCTCTAAGACCTATTTAGCTGAATACAGACAACTCTTTGTCCGTCTACTCTATACAATTAACTTTGGAGGAGACCAAGTAACAATGTAAAACTATCTAGTTAGGAAACTCTGGTGTGAGGCAAGACAGGGACCCCGGTTCCTGTCTCAAGCAAAAGGTGGGCTCACCATTTTACCAAGACCCACAAGTAGAACCCACCCCACAGGTGAGATGGACACTGTCTAGTCCCGTAGTTAAGCATGTCATATCATGAGCTTCCAAATCAGAGAACGATCCAATACCATATCCAGCCCGAATATGTGACTCTTAAAATAGGACCAACATAGCCTTTGACGGAGTTTCTTAATGTCCTCTGTACAAAATGCATGTGATGCCGGATTGCACTGAATTACCATCAATCCTTCCTCAATTTCCGCACGTTCTGACTGTCATCCTTATTTTCTGGCTGCATTGAAGTGAAGCACAAGACAGAAATAAAAATTCCTTGCACTTGTTATGCTGACATCCATGAGCGGATCAGGACACAACTTAATGACAAGACAAATGAAGAAGCGACCATGAAGGGAAAGAAGAAAGAAATACAAACACTCTTAGCCGCCTCAAACTATGGTATTTACTGGCAATGGTGAATAATTTAGCAATGTTGAAATCTATGAATAAAATGGAGCACAAAGTTCTGCTACAAATCTAAGACATCCTCCAACTTAGTATCGTACGCATCGTTTAACAGCAATTATATCTGACCAACGTGGTAGCCAACAGAGAAAATGAAGCAACCTATCCCTTCATAGTAACATATAAACACATCATCCAACGGTGGTACATATTTCTAAAGCAAAGACTATTGCCGTCTATGATCAGGAATGAAGAAATTCAACCAAAAAACCAATAAAACTAATATGGGTCATCAGGAAGTAAAGTGAAAGATTCTGTAATGGATTACCCAGACTCAAGGGCAATGGGAATCCTATGGTTGAGAAAAATTATGAGGATGTACGGATGAAAACATCTACATTCTTGAGGATATTTGACAATAACAGTTACACTCACGTAAAACCAGTAAGGACAGATAAGCTCACCATCCGAGTTCCAGATGTCTGCCCCTGGGGACTTGATGATTCAAATTGCAGTCTCCTCCTAGTGGATGAGGAGTCCAACTCTTTTCTCTTAACCGGCTGATGAACTCTTCGAACAATCTCCTGACCATGATTATATATACTGCCAAAGCAAAGTTTCAGAGAAAATGTCAGTATAAATTGCCCAAAAATAATGGCCTCACACAAAAGACACATTACAGAGGTTGAAGGCAAGAAAATAGACATGATTCTCTAAATAAGCACAAAAAAATCCATGAAGCTGTCTAACTAAGCTCCACTAGTGCAACATAATCTCTTCAGTAGAATGACAGGATAGACCTCACTGATGTAATCAGAAGGCACATAAAACTACTGATGAGCGGCTTTTGGGGGTAGCAACGACAGTCACAACAAACTATTTGAAGAAAAACATAGATAGAGTAATAGCTTGATAATGTACCCACTTTAGCCTTCCCTAGCTTCTTTGAGTGTATACACCCAAGAGCAAACATGGGCCATAGAGACAAAAAGAAGATATTTAATATTACTATAGAAAATGGAAAGACATGGTCACAAATCTTTGATTCCTATCAGAAGGTGAAAAATGAAGCACAGTCATTTCTACGAAATGACCCCCTTCCAGAAAGCAATTGCTTATTCAATTTTTCTTCTCACAATAAGAATATCCAGTCCAGTAAGGAGCCAAACCTTAACCGATGTCTGTTGCAAGCTGTAAAGAAAGCAACAAAACCATTTAAAATGCTTCGAACCGCTCGGAAAATCTGACAGGAAGAAAATAATATGTGAGTGGTTAAATACACGTAACATACATATCAAGCTTCCAATAACGAGGATCATGGCATGAGATTACCTGAGAAAATAAGTCATTCCATAAAGAACGCCATATTGAAACCTCAGATGAGCTTACGGTAGACTTTAAACCAGACACTTGAAATATGCTACTCACGAACTGCCAAGTTTCTCTGAATGACTCATATAGGCACAAGCATACCGAGACCAAAAGCCCATACAATCCAAGAACGAAGTAGATTGGAGCATAGATTATCCCCCATAAAATACAGAACATGGGATACAAGAAAGACGAAGCTGCATAGCAATAAATAATAACAAAAGAAACAATGTCAAGAAGATGCAAATCCCACAACTGAAAATCAAAATTCACAGAAAGAAAGAATTCCAGTGGCAACTCACCAATGCTCCATAGAATAGATGAGATCCACCACAGCGGCATGAGTAGCATCTCGGTGAGGTCCGCTATAAGACTGCTGGATGATTCAATCACCGTCCAGAAAACTGAGAAGAAGCTCTCCACGACTTGTATGCATATGTTCCAGAGTGGAAGAAAGAAATCAAGAAAGTCCAGCAACGGTCCAGCCATTGGCTGTGCAATCACAGAAATAATCGACCGGACCGAGCCTGTCATCGTCAAAAACCACTTGACAGCCTTTTGAAAATTATGTAGGAATAACATTGTTCCCAAATACCTAATTCTGGTTATCATTTCCCATGTTTCTATCCAATCAAAAAGGGGGCCAAACAAATGAGAAGCGGTTGCCTTCAGAAGAGGTACATTTTTGTAAAGGTCATAGAACCCAATAAGCACAGTAACAACTGAAATAAACACATATAAAGCTCTAGCCAAAGGACACATCCAGGGACGATAAATATGACAAAATACGGGATACGACTGAAGAAAAAGAACCCAAGACGGAAGCCCAGCTTCCAATAATGTAAGTAATCTCAAATCAGAAACAATTATATCCTTCAGTCTGAAAGGGAGGTCATGATCATTAAACCGAAATAATATCAAGACATCCCTATACTCCGAAGGTTCAACTATGTCTTCATGGTCATTGGCATGGGACCCGGGAGAACACACTGGGGAAGCAACACTCTCAGAATTGTTATCATCAGAAAACAAGTCAAATTCGGTGTCCGCATTCATAGATTTCATCAGTTTTCTTCTCTTACAAGGACCATCAGATGGAGGTATTGTATACACTTCATCTTCCATTCTATTCGTGAATAAACTGAAATTGGATCCAGGGTTAGAAACATCACTGCGATAACTAGGGTCATTTCCAGTAAAATCCTCTGTACAACTGCCACTAGGAAAATTTTCTCGAGCATCATGAAATACCTCGCCTGTACAATGACAATGAATCAGATTCTGCAATAGCCTTGCATGTTAATACATGTAAGTAATGAAAAGGAAACATAACCCTCCAACATACGCCAAGCAACACACATTACAGCGCTTTTGCACCAATAGAAGAGTAAAGAGAGACACTAGTACCTATTGATGAGTCCAGATAATCCTTCAAAATTTTCTGTTCATTGCAAGTACCAGGAAACCAGGTAGGGATGCATCTAGCAGCTTGTGCAATACTATCAAATTCCCACCGATTCATAAATTTGGCCTCAATAGCAAGCGAAGTATCGGTCTACATAGACATGGAAATAGAAAATAGAACATTAGTTTAACTCATTGCAAGCAAAGACTCTTGATTACTGAGAATTGAGACATTTAAGCACCTGAAGCTCATTTAAGTAGTTTAAACCACGAACGTCCTTCCAAGCAACTTCAAAGACAATAAACCCATACAATGTTCTGCGCAACTTGTTATTCAGCAAAAATGAATGCCTCAGCCTTTTAACAGGTAGTAAGGCCCTCTGATGAGATAAAGTTGCAGCATCAACCAGTGAGAACCATCTTTTAGTCTTTGATGTGCTTGAGCTTGATACTGGACCTGTATGGAACGAACTCACTTCAGATGTCATCTTTCTACCTTTCCGGCCTCTAGTATTTGCAAACGGGGACAACCTAGACTGTAACAGACAGTAACAATCATCCACATAATTTCAGAGGAAGTCAACAAAATTGAGAACAGTAAGTAAATCTTATTATAAATTGAAACAGCGGCAAATTAAAGACCTTAGTCACCATCAATTGCCACAAATGTGCAGGCCGTGAAACTAAATCCTTCAACCATGGCCTATTGTCCACAAGAACATAGAATTTCTTACTCTCAGGAGCAAGAAAGAGGCTAAGATCTGAAAGGTATGACTGCAAGTCCCTGCAAGATGCAAGTATATAGCCGAAAGAGTCTCAAAGTAAACGACATATGTTCTTCTCAAAGGTTCAAAACTTTATAGCACTCACAAAACATATCAACCTTAACCCACAGATGGTTCTCCATTCACCTTAAACCAACTCATTTTTCATGGAAAACAAGTCATTGCCAATTTGAAAAAGGAAACAACCCAACCAAACATTTAAAAAGAAAATAAATAAATAAAAAGAAAAAAATCAAACATCACAAGGGACATGAGTTTGAAACTTGTAACCTAACATTCTATCGATGTCTGAAAGAACAAAAGGGACCATTAATGAACTCTTTATTTCCAACCAAATAACAGTGCAGCAATCTTTCTAATATCTGAAAGACACAAGAAAGACAATCTAAATTCTTTATTATGACACATTAGGACCTTAGAAGTACAATCATCATCATACAATTGGAACTCTGAAACACAAAATTTTCCCTTCTACAGGAGTAAGTCGCAGCAACCTTACAATATGACTAATTCTAAAGAAGAAAAGAGCTAGCAAACTCATCCTAACAGAATCACTCACAAGACAGAAGAAGGAAAACAAAAAAAAACCCGCATCACATCCATACAAAGCGACACACATCAGCAAATTAAAGAAAATTACCAAAAAAAAATTAGTTAGAAAAAATAAATTACCCAATTTGCAAGCTGGTTAAGGGGAAAACAAATTTTTCATGGTCAGGGTTTCCCATCAACATCGTCAACCCCTCTGGCAATCACTGCAACACATGTAAATTGTAATTAGAAAAAGAAAAACCCAAAAGGAGGAAAAAAAATCAATAACCAAAGAGAATAACACAAGGAATCAAATTCCTTCCCCAATTGTTCACATTACTACTACTCACCTAAATCAAACAAGAGGATGAATTTGTCAAACGCATAATTCATACGCGGAGACACAAAATCTGAGCCAAAAAATTCACCACCGCCAAACTTCATAACAGAGAAAAGCAAAGAAAACAGAATTCTATCTCCCTCCTTTATATAACAGAAAAGAGAGTACAATTAATGCCGGCGAAACAGAGAGATAAAAATTACATCCGGCGGTGTGATGATGATATCATCAGCGTTGTTGTCTGTCATTATCTAATTATAATCCCCGGGTGTTGCGGATTTTCGAAGCAAATTCAGTGACGTTAATGCAACCAAAAAATTAAAAGCTGTGCCAGAAGAGAATCGGATTGAGTAATTACTCTTTATGGGCAAATTGGATTTTGTGGGGAGAGGAAGTGGGATTTTCAATTGGGAGAGAAGACAGAGAAGAAGAAAAAATAAAAACTGAGGGAGGGAAAGAAGGATGTGGCGACTTCGGTACGAAACACGTCAACTTGTTGTTGTAGTTTAACGTGGTTTTGTTTTGTTTGTTTTGTTCGTTGCTTAGTGTGTGAGTGTGTGAGAGAGAAAAACAGGATCGACTCATAATTGAAACCGGGAATCGGTAAAGGGTTAATTCTTTCGTTTATTTATTACGTACGTCGGAGGAGTATTGATTATTATTGCAGTGTTGACATATGAAATGACTACTGCTATACTACTACAACTCGGTATCAAAATTATTATTATTATTATTATTTTTTTGGTTTAGTTAATACTTCTGACCAAGAAGAGTATTATTGCACCAAAAATAATTGTGCGGCGCATTTACCTAATTTATATATATATTTTAGTTCTCTGATCCAAATTTTTTTAATATTTGTTCATTTTCCACTTCCCTGTAAATTATTCATCCCTGCATTTTCTTTTTTCTTTTTTTTTCCTCCTACTTTTGAATTTTCCAGAGAGTATTAAAAAAATTTCAATTATTTCAAATAAATTTTTTAATATATTGATGATTCCGGTACCAAAAGGTTATAGGAGTAAATAGTACTCCATAATCTGCTACAGTACAATCTATAAATAACAATGTGAAATAATTTTTAGAAGAATTTAAAAGAGAGAGCTAAAAGAACGTGTAAATTCTCCTAGCTATTTTCACAACAAAATCTTGATTCATTCTTTCGCAAAACATCAACCCAAATCTTATTGAAATGTCAATTGGTAAATGTCAGACCAAGTATTCATTTCTAGATTTCCTTTATTTTTTCCTTCCAACTCTTTGAATTTCTAGACAGTATTAAAAAAAGTTCAATAATTCCAAATGAACCTTTTACATGTACTGATGATTCTAGTACCAATAGGTTATATATAGAGTACTCCCTCTCTTATACTATTTGTAGTATAATTCATAATCACAATGTGAATTTATTTATTTTTTTATTTATTTTTGGAGAATAATTTGAAAGACGTGAAGTCTCCTAGCTATTTTTTTTATTTAAAACATTACCCCAAAACTCATTGAAATCTGGAAAGTGCAGTGTAGACTTGATTCTAGCTGGCAGCAGAAGCAGATTTTAAAGCTACGAGATCAAGCGAAAAATGGATTCAATGGTAGCAACTGGCTAGCTGAGAAGAGAGGTAAGTATACAGTTGACTCAGGCTATCAATGATTGACAGGTTCGGGGGTTAAAACAAAGGACACTCAGTTTATTTGGGCTAGCATAAATGTGTCTAAGCATGCTTTTATTGCTTGGTTAGTCTGGAGACGTAGAATACTCACTAAGGACAGGCTTGCAGCAATATAGATTACACTGGCAGATGATTGCTGTGTGTTATGCAAAATGATTCCTGAAAATGTAGACCATATTTTTTTTTCCCAATGTGAGTGCTCAAAGTGCATCATGGACAGAGCTATGAGATGGTTGGGGTGCAGAAATCTTACTGATAATTGTAGGAATTGGGTAGAACAAGTAATGAGACTATGAAAGGGTTTGCGATTCAAGAGAAGATTACTGTGGGCTGTTGTATGTGCTTGCATTTATCATGCTTAGGAGGAACGCAACTTGGGATTGTTTGAAAACAAGGAGAGGGAACCTGAAGCCATTCTGAAGGTGACACAGAGGGAGATTAAACACAAAGCTCTGCACAAACAAAGAAAGAAGGCTACTGCTGCTGAAAAGTTAATTATGAACCAATTGTTTCTTCATGAGTAAAATGTACAGTTTTTTTTGTAGAAATAGTTGAGTTGTTTGTTTTTCTGTTTTGGTGAATTGTGTTGGCACTCACTGCAAAATGTATATCCTGAATAGGTTCAATATGTACTCTTCACTTTTGGTGATCCTGTTAATATATCTTTACTTTTTTCACTAAAAAAAACTTCATTGAAATCTCACAATTGGTAAATCTCAGACCAAATTTTCCAACAAGTTCCTTCCTTTTTTTCACCCTCTTTCCAAGTAAAAGTTATTCCCAATTTAATCCATTTCATTACAAGCAAGTCTAAGGAGTACTTTATATTATTCCAAAAAAAGTAATTCCTCCCCCTTTTTTTTCCCCATAAAATGTTGGTTGAGACCAAGATTAGCTTTGTTACCATTGTGCTGAGCTAAGTCTTGAAAAGGTTCTGTTTGGTCCATTGTTTTGAAAGTCTGTGTTTTTTATTTCGTATTCTTAATTTGATTTAGAGCTGGCAAAAAAATCCACGGGCTTATTATCTATCCAAATTCATTGGATAAAAGCCCATTCATTTAATATGTTGGGCTTGGGTGGATCTGGATAAAAAGTTATTTAGACGGGTATGAGTAGTTCACGGTTAATCATCAGTTAGTCTATTTGATTTTCAAACTATACAATCATCATTTATTTATTTTTTTAAATGGGATGAAAAAAATATAGCCATCGATACAAGTTCGTGAGTAGGTAGGGTTGACCCAACTTAACCCATTTAAGAAAGGGTCATGTACGGGTTAGGCCATCACGGGTTAGCGCGGGTTACAGGTCAACAGTCAATTGGTTGGGTATAAAATTTTTGCCTGCGGGTTAACCTATAGACAAAATTATTTTTTAACGACGGCATATTTTATAACTTAATTAATGGACTTCAAATTTTTACATTTTACGGCTAGTTTAACTGGATCGGCCCATGAATCGACCTGGATCAACCCAGTAACCAAGTCATGATATGCGGGTCGATTTTTTTTTTTCAAATAAACCTTGTACTTTTATTTTCTAACTCATTGAAGTTCAATACGTTTCGAGCCATATTAAGCTGGGTCGATCCAAGGATCGTATTGGGTTGACCCAGTAACCGAACCATGGTACATGGATCGAATTTTGATTTTTTTAAAAATAAAGTACAATCATGGATTTTAACTTAAGAGAATAATAATTTTTATATTTTCAACCAAGTTTTACCAGGTCGACTCATGGATCAAATTGGATCGACCCAGTAACCGGGCCATGATACATGGGTCGATTTTTATTTTTTGTTTAAATAAACCTTTACACTTGTATTTTTTAACTCATTGAAGTTAATTTTCACGTTTCGTGGCATATTAAACTGGGTCAATCCATGGGTTGTGTTGGGTCAACCTAGTAACCGGACCATGGTACATGTATTATATTTTGATTTTTTTATAAAAATAAAGTACAACCATGATTTTAACTTAGGAGATTAAAATTTTTTATGTTTTCTACCAAGTTTTAACTGGTTGACCCTCATTAGATCCATGAATCGAGCTGGGTCAACCCACTAACGGGTCACGATAAGTGGGTTGTTTTTTTTTTTTTTTGGTTCAAAGAAACCTTATACTTGTATTTTCTAACTTATTGAACTTTAAGTTTTCACTTTTTAAGTCATATTTAACTGGGTCGAGCTAGGTCAACCCAGTAACCGGGCCATGATACATGAGTCGAATTTTAATGTTTTTTATTAAATAAAATACAAACATAAATTTTAACGTAGGAGAATAATTTTTATGTTTCACATTAAGTTTTAACTGGTTGATCCAATACTTGGGTCACAATATGCGGGTCAAATTTGAATTTTTGTTCAAATAAGTTATATACATTTATTTTCTAACTTATTGGACTCATAATATTCATGCAAGAATTAATTTATTATTTCATTTTATTTAGTTGGGTCATATTTATTGAATTGGTAACATTTGAATTTATGTTAAAAAATCCACTAAAGGTATTTATGAATAGCCATGGATATATAATACCCAACCATTTAAGTCCATTAAATTTAATGGATATGGATGGGTATTTACCCATTAAGCTACTAACCATTAAAAACCAATCTCAAGTAGTCCAAATCCGCCCATTTGTCGGCTTGAATTTGATCCAAGTAAATATAAGGACTTTCGACTAAGACATGTATTGACCCAAATGTTTTATGATTTTTTGTCATGCGGATCGGGTTTGGCATACGGGTCGGTTTTTAAATCAAATTAGGGCGAAACGGATTTGGGGGCGAACTACATCGTTTTGACGTTGATTGCAGCAGAAGAAGCTCACAGCTGGCACATGCAAGCTGTCCGAAGGAAACTTCTACGTAGCTTCCGATTTTTCATTTTCCAGCTCTTAATTCTGGTTATCTAACCTTTAAATCATGTAAATGGAGGATTAAGAAAATAGTTTTATGATTTTGATTCTATCGGATTTGTTCTGTCCTTTTTTCTCTCTCTCACGTCTCTTTCTTCCTCTTTTTCCATTTCTAGTTACATTCTCGTTCTTCTTTCTTTTACCCTTTATGCCATGTTGGTTCAAAAGCAGTAAAAACTCCCTCTAAAACAAACCATAACCTTACATTTGACATCAGAGCTAGCCGTTTCCTTTGGCTTGTTCCTGAGATCTTTTTCTTCTTCTATCCTTCTTCCTTTAATTATTTTGGGATCTACTAAAAGGCGACAGGGATGACAGAAACTAGATCTAAAACAACTCAAGCTCTGGAAGATCATATGAAAAGACAGGATCTTCAGTTGCTGGAAGTCAGTGAATGGAGGAAGCAGATGGAGGAAAAGCTTAACAACTGGGGATCTATGCTGGAAGCAAAAGTGGAGCACCAAACCAACCAGTTTCAGTCGGTGAATGCACAGCTTAACGAGATCCTGATGATGATGAATGGAAAGAAAGGTGACCCTTCTATTCTCAGTAAGGTTCCATCTTCTCCAACCTCCCCTGGAATCATGTCTAAATCAGTCAGTAATTCAAAGATTAATGTGGTTGATGCTGAAGTAGTAAGTGAGTTAACCGATAAGACTGAGAAGAATCTATGGGTGTCACAGCCACGTCTTGAACTGCCTAATTTTACTGGTGATAACCCTAGGGAATGGTTGAGAAAGTGTGAAAAGTTTTTCAGTATCTATGATGTCTCTGATGGTAAAAAGTTGGATACAATTGAGCTATATATGGATGGAAAGGCTGATAATTGGTATCAAAGTCTGAAAAGAGTAAAAGGGGTTCTGTCATGGCAGGAATTTTTGAAAGAATTACTTAAGAGGTTTGGAGAAAAAGGGGGGAAAGATGAGATTGGAGAGTTCAATAAGTTGCAGAAAAAAGGATCTGTTTTATAATACCATGAAAGGTTTGAAGAATTGAAGTCTATGGTTTTGTGTAAGGATCCTCATCTCACTG